TCCAAAATCAACAGATAGAATATTCCAGTGGATCATCTCCCACACAAACTAATCTTATGTTACAGTATGAGTGTGTTTGATGGTGTGCCAGCTCTGCTGGCTACCATCACTGATTGGAGTCTGGTTGTTGTGTTTCATGTGATGCTCAACTCAATTTGAATAGTTTCTTAACTTTATATTAATTCCATATATATATAACATATTATATATACATATATATGTATATATATATATATATTTCAAAAATTGAATAAATTCATTGGGTTTTTCTACTAAAAACGATATATCTACGTATAATATATTGATATTTTTGATTAGTTTCTTAGAATATTATTTTTATATATGTATATTTCAAGTTTGAAGAGTTTCTTTAATTTTCTTTCAAAAAAATGTTTATATATAATGATATGTTTGCTTAGTTTCCTCAATATATATATATATTAAGTTTGAAGAGTTTTCTCGAGTTTTATCATATAAAAAACAATGTATTTGCATAGGATATGTTCATAATTTTGATGATTTTCTTAAATTTATACATTCCGTATTCTATCTCTTGATTCCCACCTGCAAAGCGAAATCCGTATTCTATCTCTTGACCATATCTTTTTTAATATTCTATCTGCTGGATCCTTACTATATATGTATATGTCCTCTTGGTTAACCACAGGTATACACGTGCACGTACCTTGCCGTGGCAGCTTTGGGTTCACAGCTGGGGAGGCAGACCGCTGGTTGCCTCCCCTGTCGTGTGCCACACGGCACGTGAGGGACTGGACCGAATTCCCTCAGGATTCAGGATTGGGAGCCCTGAGGGGGGGGGCTTGCCATGGATCAGGTGAGGCGCCTTCGCCAGGACTTCCTCGAACCGTGGGATGCTCCAGAGGAGTTCGAAGCCTTAACGTGGCCTGCAGCACCCGGAACCTGGCTTCGCCACAGCAAAACAGCACCTACCTGAAGGTTCCAGCCACCCTTGCCAGCCACAGACCTGCAAAACAGCACCTACCTGAAGGTTTCAGCCACCCTTGCCACCAGGATCTCCAACGTGGCCTTCTGAATCCTGTAGAAGAAAAGCTATCGAGCGAAGGAAGCAGCACCCGGAACCCGGCCTCGCCACAGCAAAACATGGATCTCTAACGTGGCCTTCTGAATCCTATAGAAGAAAAGCTATCGAACGAGGAAGCAGTACCCGGAACCCGGCCTCGCCACAGCAAAACAGCACCTACCTGAAGGTTCCAGCCACCCTTGCCAGCCACAGACCTGGATCTCTAGCGTGGCCTTCTGAATCCTATAGAAGAAAAGCTATCGAGGGAAGGAAGCAGCACCCGGAACCCGGCCTCGCCAAAGCAAAATAACACCTACCTGAAGGTTTTCAGCCAGCACTGCCAGCCACAGAGCTGGATCTCTAACGTGGCCTTCTGAATCCTATAGAAGAAAAGCTATCGAACGAGGAAACAGTACCCGGAACCCACAGCAAAACAGCACCTACCTGAAGGTTTCAGCCACCCTTGCCAGCCACAGACCTGGATCTCTAACGTGGCCTTCTGAATCCTATATAGAAGAAAACCTATCGAGCGAAGGAAGTTTCGAAGAAGAGCTATCGAGCAGCACCCGGAACCCGGCCTCGCTACAGCAAAACAGCACCTACCTGAAGGTTTCAGCCACCCTTGCCAGCCACAGACCTGGATCTCTAACGTGGCCTTCTGAATCCTATATAGAAGAAAACCTATCGAGCGAAGGAAGTTTCGAAGAAGAGCTATCGAGCAGCACCCGGAACCCGGCCTCGCTACAGCAAAACAGCACCTGCCGGAAGGTTTCAGCCAGCCCGGCCAGCCACAGACCTGGATTCTGACGTGGTCTTCTGAATCGTTTCGAAGAAGAGCTGTGGAGCGACATCGCGCAGAAAAGGTGTCGCGCGAAGGCTCTTCTGAATCGTTTCGAAGAAGAGTTGTGGAGCGACATCGCACAGAAAAAGATGTCGCGCGAAGGCCCTAGCCTCGACAGCAACAAGCCTTGCCACAGTTCCCACGGAAGTGGCTACACTACAACGAAACCCACCTAGCTGATGAACATATTCAGTTGCCAAGTTTTCACCTGGCCCATGGTCAAGAAGACAACACTTTTCCTCGAGCGCGCTCCCCCTTGCCATTGGCTGGGGTCGGCGGATTATGTTTACACACAACATATTATGTGTGTGTATATTTATATATATGTACACACACACACATATACACCTAATATATCCCCAAATACATTCTCAACAATCCTCAGCCAGCAAGCAGATATCATATATTCTTATAGATACATCCCAAACATGACGAACGTTTTCTGCAGATTTCCCAAAATTTCCAGCAGAGGCAATTCTTGAGCATCATCGCCGCATCGAACTGCTGTTGCAACGCCATAGGGCTCCGATGGACTCAGAGGCCTCGGCAGTTGGTGCGGCCACCAATAGATCCCCTAAAGAGGGGTTCGACATGGTTCAACAGTTCCCATGAAATGGTCAAAAAATGGTCAAAAACATGTGGCTCAATATGGGTTTAACAGATGTTTGGCCAATCATTCCCATGAAATGGTGAAAAAAACCCAAAACCACTTGGGTCAATATAGGATGAAAAACCATGTGGGTCAATATGGGATGGTTTAACAGATGGCAGTGAATGATTCCCACTTTTCATGGCAGGAGCTGCAACGAATCTGCAATGTCGCACTGATGGGTTGTGACCTGAGAGTTGTCACTGTCGGGGTAGGTCCCCCAGATGGCCATTTGGCCATATAGGATTTGGAATAAACATGGCCATTTAAATGACGATGATTAAACCATTGGGAATTGGGTGCCCCGTTTTCAGACACTTTGTGCCCCGATTTCCAAACAGCTTCTGGTGTAAAGCATTCCTCCAATGTCAGCTGGGACTTCTCAAGAGGCACTGCATATCGATGGGCTTGCGGAGCACAGCTCGCGAGCATCATGGAGGATTCTCAGTTCCAGGAGACGACAGACAGGACATGATGACTATTGGCAGGCAAATGGTTGATAAGTTTTATAGTTAGCATTATGGTGAGTTGATGACAATGATGCTAATTTTGAATTATCGCAAAAACTGTATTGTTCATCTATGAATGTTGGAGAAAAACATATGGTTAATTTTTTGAATCTATTGATTTGAATAGTGGTTTCAAACAATACTCTCATCCCAAAGATATGGTGGCTTCCTAAAATGGTCCCCAAGTTATGATCCAAGCTATCGGTCATTCACAGGGAAACCACGGTGATTTCGGTGATATATCGGTGCATCTCCGCATTGCCCTGCACGAAGTCCTCCCACAACGTTCTGGATGGGATGTCGATATTGTTGAATGATTTTGCCGGACCCATTCATGGGATGTCATGGGATTCAACTCCCATAATTCTAGACCTTAAACCCCAATAAATCCCACATGGTTATTGGGGCCGGGGGACCTAAAAGCTGCCCAGGAGGGAGCGATCGTTCGTGCCATCGTTCGGGCCGAAGAACTCTTGAGGAAACTTCAGGCCATGGGGCTGCAGTGTGGATTCCTCCATTTTTTAGTGACCATTTGCTACTTGAATTTGAATGGTGTTTTATGATGTTTTTTTGATCCGGGGGTGACATGCGCAAGATCAGTTTCGTCAGTTTCCCCTTTGCGGCCGAAGCAGAATTTGTCTCTGATCTTTGCCTGCTTTGGTAAATGGTTCGCTTGACTATGTCATGGATGGTCGCAGCTTGAGATTATCAGATTATCTTTAGGGGAGTGCTAGTCCAAGCTGTTTGTGGGTTTGGGTCAAGGAGGCAAAACCTGGTAGTACCCGTACTTGCCAAGCACTTCTCTTTCTGCAGGACGTAGCAAAGATGTTGGGCAACGACAGCCTTGAAAAAGTGGCTGGACAGACACACTTTGGAATGCTTGCCATCCAGGAGACATGATGTTCAGCCGGATGTTTTGTGTTGCAGGTGGACGTGCTGAGCAAGAGACCCAAACTTTTCTCAACTTCCCTAAACTTCTATAGTTTGCACAGATTGCCAGAGATGACCATGCTTTGAGAAGATAAACAGAGGACCTAAAGAAACACAGGGCCAAAAAGCTGACGTGTTTTTCATAGTGTGTTTTTCAATCTTCTCCCTTCAACAACTTGCTTGGTTGCCATGACCAGACGTTTTTGCATTGACCTGGCAAAAACCGCCATCACTTGCACTGCCACCAAGGTGTTCTCAGAGGCTGCGGAATTGATCCACAGAGACATTGCCTTTGTGCCTTCCTTGTACATTAAGTAGAGCGGCGAACTTCGCAGAACCCACGTATTGCAGCAGTTTGCGGCTGCGAAGACGATCCACAAATCATCCTAAATTGCAAGATTGAACTTTTGTTGGCAAACCCATTTGGGGGATACAATCATATAAGGATTTGCTAAAAGCGGCTGAAAACTTGACTGCAAGAAAATCTTGGCTTTCACCCTTGCTTTACTCTGAAGGCTGAACGGTTCGGACATGTTCGAAAAAGAAAACCATGGAAAAGACTTCAAATCATGCACCTATGGACCTATTCCCTGACCTGGATGACTCTGTGATCCAGAATTATAGTTTCCGAGAACTGTTTGCGTATGCATTGTCTTCGCCCCACCCTCTGCTAAGGATTTCTAGGCAGCCACACTTTCTGCTTGTCGCAGTGTGTAAGTGACATGTGCTGATGCTATGACCCACTGAACTCCCACGTTGATGTTTTGCTGAGAGTTGCGATGACACGACCAAAATTCCGAGACAGCCACTTTTTCACCAACAGAGTCTAGAGATCAAAATCACACTGGTTCTTTTTGAATGGTGCGGGAAGGGGCACTAAACAGATAGAAGAATGAACGCAGATTAAGGATTAGCTTAGTAAGAGGTTCCAAAGTATCCAAAGTTTAGAGCCATTGTCGCCTGGCAGTTTTGGCTTGATCAGAGCTCCCGACGATAGCTCGCCCCCTGGTGGTAGCGTGCCGCCACGCCATGCGCTTTGCGGCTGCCCGCTGGGCAAGGCAACTGCGAACTGCTGGGGAGGTCTCAACAGGGAATTCAAATTCGACATATCATATTTATATTTGGCTTGAGAGAGAGAGAGAGAGATGTGTACATGTGAGAGGTTGAACACGTGCTCTCTCTCCTTGGCTCCCCGTCTTCAATTTTTTGGTCTTCCTCTACCATCACGAGTTCATGGCATGGATGAAGACCGCTACGATTGACCTTTTGCCAGATGCCGCAATGCGCACTTGTCGTCCTGGTCGCGGAATCTTAATGCAGCTTGGAGCACGAGCAGCTACTACTTGTGAATGGGATGGGCGCCTGCTCACGCTGTCATGCCTCGAGGGCCATAAGAATATTCACTTGCCTAATACGCTGGAGGATAGGTCTTTGCAAAACAAATTACATGTCAGTTGAGGTCAATTGCAAGACCACTTAGCCAGCTTAACACGGTGGCTAAGATGAGTGGTGTTTTTTGTCACTTCCAGACATTTGGATGCCCCTGTTGACCCTACTGGCGTCTGGTTTCAGCATGCTGAAAGGTGCAACCCATTTTTTCTCCAGCAACGTTTGCCATCGTTTGCCTTTATATGTAATATATTATATATATATAGATAATGTTTGCAAGACTTTGCTCCAGACTCTCAACATGATGAAGTATTTTAAAGTATTGTGTCTCATTCTGAAGCATGAGCACCCAGCTGTTTTTGAGGCTGACCTCCGCTTCTACCGCCAGAAACCGAGCAGTGTTAGAACATGTTAGAACTAGCAGCCTGCACATACTTGTAGGAAAAGAAAATTGACAGTGATCATAACTTGTTGCTGGCATCCTGCTCGGGTTGGACTCCTTGCAACGCAAGCAACTCAAATGCTTTTGCATGTCTATCTTGTTGTTGTCAAAGCGCGGAACAGTGACAGTAAGTGACTTTCTGATTGCATGCACTCAAAGTCCAGGGCAGAACCATGGATTGTTGCACAACATATTGTAATCATTCCACTACCATTCCATTTGTTATCCTCTGGTGATCAAACTCGGCAATGGAAATCCCCATTTACAGGTGGTTTTCGCCCAACTACTCCAGTATTAGAGGATTTTTGATTGCCATGTTTGATTATACTATATATATATTATAGCGGTTGAACATGGTCAAACTAATGGTTAAACGCTTAAACCATGGATTATTTCAACCATGGGTCACCAAAATGGGTCACATCAGGGGGTGTTGCAGCGGCCCCGATGCTGCGCCTGGCAGCAGAGCCGATGCCAATTACTGGTTTCGTGGAGCAGCGCAACTGTGGTTCCTCCCTGGTCAGCAGCCTTTGCGCCTCCGGCGAGGAGCCGAACCCCCCCAAAAAAAAAGTACCGAAAGAATCAGAAAGGTTGGCGATGTTGGATGGGAGCATGGAGTTGGTGTGAAATGTTGAGTTCACACGTGGGATAAAGGCCTAAAGCTATTGGTAAAGCTGCAATTTCAGCAGGAGTTGGACGCCTTGGATGGTGGTGTTGCAGCATCCCAGGCCGGTAGCTTGCGACACATGCCAGCACCGGTCAAAATCGATCTATTGGTTGGGATAGTTAGGACAGTTGGGATGAGAACCATCAGACCATCGCTTTCAGGCCATCGCAGCAATTCTGGAGGGGGCCTGGTAGCCTGAAGAGCTTGATCCGCGGAAAGCTGACCATTTTCCATACCGAAAAGATCCCAGTTGGGGGTAAAATAGGTAATGTATGGTACTGTTAGGTAATCCCTATGTTGGATCCTTAGATTTCTATGACATGACCGAGGTTGCAAAACTTGACGGCACTGTTAGCAGCCGCTTTGCAGAAATGTTAGATACATCCGTCTGCACCTTGGACCGCTGAATGTCTTGATATGTTGTTGATGACTTTTTGACCACAGGCATTCGGTCATCAAGATGACACCCCCCTCAACTAGACGACGGATGGCCCCAGAGCGTAGAGGAGCAGGGTCTTCTTTTGTTAGTATTGAGACACTATATTGCAAGACAATATATAAAAGATCTATTATAGGCAGACGAGAAGAGTGGTATCAAGACAATATTTTACAAGTAAAAGACAATAGTTTGCATCGTATCCTTCGTATAGTTTTTCACACACAGAACCTTTTACACACAGACGCTTTTACACACAGACGCTTTTACACACAGAAGCTTTTACACACAGACACTTTTACACTAGACCCTTTTACACGCAGACAATTTTACACACATACACTTTTACACACAAACGCTTTTACACACAGAAACGTTTACACACAGAAACTTTTACACACAAACACGTTCACACACAGAGACTTTTACACACAGAATCTTTTACACACCGAGACTTTTACACACAGACGCTTTTACGACGCACAGACACTTTTACACACAGACGCTTTTACACACAAACACTTTTACACACAGAGTCTTTTACACACAGACGCTTTTACATACAGACGCTTTTACACACAAACGCTTTCACACACAGAGACTTTTACACACAAACGCTTTTACGCACAAACGCTTTTACACACGAACACTTTTACACACAGAAGCTTTTACACACAGAACCTTTACACAGAAACTTTTACACACAGAAGCTTTTACACGCAGACACTTTTACACACACACACAGACACGCTTTTACACAGAAGCTTTTACACACAGAAGCTTTTGCACGCAGACCCTTTTACACACAGACGCGCGCAGACGCTTTTACACATAGAAGCTTTTACACACAGAAGCTTTCACACACAGACGCTTTTACACACAGAAGCTTTTACACACAGACGCTTTTTCACACAAACACTTTCACACACAGAGACTTTTACACACAGACACTTTTACACACAGAAACGTTTACACACAGACACTTTTACACACAGACACTTTTACACACACAGGCGCTTTTACACGCAGACACTTTTACACACAGACGCTTTTATACATAGAAGCTTTTACGCACAGAGGCTTTCACACTCAGAAGCTTTTACACACACACACACTTTTACACACAGACGCTTTTACACACAGACGCTTTTACACACAGAAGCTTTTACACACAGACGCTTTTACACACAGAAGCTTTTACACACACAGAGACTTTTACACACAGACGCTTTTACACACAGAAGCTTTTACACACAGACGCTTTGACATGCAGAAGCTTTTACGCACAGACGCTTTTTCACACAAACACTTTCACACACAGAGACTTTTACACACAGACACTTTTACACACAGAAACGTTTACACACAGACGATTTTACACACAGACACTTTTACACACACAGACGCTTTTACACGCAGACGCTTTTACACACAGACGCTTTTATACATAGAAGCTTTTACGCACGGACGCTTTCACACACAGACGCTTTTACACACAGACGCTTTTACACACAGAAGCTTTTACGCACAGACGCTTTTACACACAGACGCTTTTACACACAGACGCTCTTACACACCGACACTTTTACACACAGACGCTTTTACACACAGAAGCTTTTACACACAGAAGCTTTTACACACAGAGACTTTTACACACAGACGCTTTTACACACAGAAGCTTTTACACACAGACGCTTTGACATGCAGATTCTTTTACACACAGACGCTTTTACAGACAGAAGCTTTTACACACAGACGCTTTTACACACAGACGCTTTGACACGCAGACCCTTTTACACACAGAAGCTTTTACACACAGAAGCTTTTACACACAAACACTTTTACACACATACGCTTTCACACACAGAAGTTTTTACACGCAGACCCTTTTCCACACAGAAGCTTTTACACACAGACACTTTCACACACAGATGCTTTCACACACAGAAGCTTTACACACAGAAGCTTTTACACACAGAAGCTTTTACACACAGAGACTTTTACACACATCATACGCTTTTACACACAGAGACTTTTACACACAGAAGCTTTTACACACAGAACCTTTTACACACAGACGCTTTTACACACAAACACTTTCACACACAGAAGCTTTTACACACAGAAGCTTTTACACACAGATGCTTTCACACACAGAAGCTTTTACACACAGAAGCTTTTACACACAGAAGCTTTTACACACAGACACTTTTACACACAGACACTTTTACACACAGACGCTTTTACACACAAACACTTTCACACACAGCAGCTTTTACACACAGAAGCTTTTACACACAGACGCTTTTACACACAGACGCTTTTACACACAGAAGCTTTCACACACAGAAGCTTTTACACACAGACACTTTCACACACAGACGCTTTTACACACAAACACTTTCACACACAGAGACTTTTTCACACAGAAGCTTTTACACATCATACGCTTTTACACACAGAGACTTTTACACACAGACGCTTTTACACACAAACACTTTCACACACAGAAGCTTTTACACACAGAAGCTTTTACACACAGAAGCTTTTACACACAGAAGCTCTTACACACAGATGCTTTCACACACAGACGCTTTTACACACAGAAGCTTTTACACACAGCAGCTTTTACACACAGACGCTTTTACACACACAGACGCTTTTACACAGAAGCTTTCACACACACAGAAGCTTTTACACACAGAGACTTTTACACACAGACGCTTTTACACACAAACACTTTCACACACAGAGACTTTTACACACAGACGCTTTTACACACAGAAGCTTTTACACACAGACCCTTTGACACACAGACGCTTTTACACACAGAAGCTTTTACACACAGACCCTTTGACACACAGACGCTTTTACACACAGAAGCTTTTACAGACAGAAGCTTTTACGCACAGACGCTTTTACACACAGAAGCTTTTACACACAGACGCTTTGACACGCGTTTTATTTTTTTGGTGGGGTGGGCTAAGCATTTTATTGTAAAGGTAAATCCTGATGATTTTTAACATGTTAAAATTCCATTCTCATTTTATTGCAAAAAAATGTTTGCTTGGAGCATTTTATTGCAGAATGGAACCAGTGTTTTTCCAGGATCTTTTTATATCGATTTTATTGGGCATGTCATTTTAGATCAGCGAATTTTAAGGAATTTGAAGGAATTCTAAGGAAATTTAAGGAATATTAAGGAATTCAAAGGAATTATAAGGAGTATTAAGGAATTTTAAAGGAATTATAAGGAAATTTAAGGAATTTAGAGAGTTTTAAGGAATTTTAAGGAATCTTGGAGGAATTTTAAGGTTTTTCTGGAATTTGACGGAATTTGAAGGATTTTGGGGGGTTTTTAAGGATCTTTAATGTTTTTAAATTTTAAAGGATATTTAAGGAATTTCAAGGAGTTTTTTGGAATTTTAAGGAATTTAAAGGATTTTTAAGGAATTTTAAGGAATTGCCACGAAAGAATGCCACCGTATTTTGTTGCTATAAAATGCTATAAAAAAGAAAAACACTTAATATTTGGGCACCTTCACTCCAAAATACCCCTATCTAAAAAGAATTTCCTGACCCCTTTTTAAAGATGCGTTTCTGAGGGTCTTCAAAATTGGATGAAATTGGATGATGTTGGATGCACATTCAAGCATGAATTTGGTGGCAAGGCATTTTATTGCAGAGCCAGTTTTCATTGTTTTTGTGCATTTTAAAGCCTGAGGCCTATGCACAAAAGTTAGACCGCTCTAAAACTCCCGCGCGGCTTCACGTAATGAATTGGCACCCCGATCTTTTTCACACAAACACTTTCACACAGAGACTTTTACACACAGAAACTTTTACACACAGAAGCTTTTACACACAGACGCTTTTACACACAGACGCTTTTACACACAGAAGCTTTCACACACACAGCAGCTTTTACACACAGACGCTTTTACACACAGAAGCGAAGGGGTTGCGCCGGACGCGTCAAAATCGCAGTTTTTCCGCAGTCTTTGGCGATCGAAGCTCATTTCGTGCGAAAGGGTTGCGGCCGGACGCGTGAAATCGCAATTTTACTGGACCCTTTGCAAATCGCAATTCTACGTCAGTTTTTGGTGATCGAACCTCGTTTCATGCGAAATTTTACCTCAGTTTTTGGTGATCGAACCTCGTTTCGTGCGAAAGGGTTGCGTTTCGTGCCGTCTCGTTGGCACTGCCCCGCGGCTTCAAGAGAGAAATATAGACAAGAAGGAGAGAGCAAGAGGGCAAGAGAGCAAGAAGGCAAGAGAGCAAGAGGGCAAGAGAGAATGTGAAGATGTGAAGATATGAAGATGTGAGGATGTGAGGATGTGAAGACGTGAAGATGAGAAGATGTGAAGATGAGAAGACGTGATGTGAGGATGTGAAGATGTGAGGACGTGAAGATGTGAGGATGTGATGAGGATGTGATGAGGATGTGAAGATGTGAAGATGAGAAGATGTGAAGATAAGATGAGCAGATGTGAAGATGAGAAGATGTGAGGATGTGAAGATGAGAAGATGAGAAGATGTGAAGATGTGAGGGTGTGAAGACGAGAAAATGTGAAGATGTGAGGATGTGAAGATGAGAAAATGTGAAGATGTGAGGATGCGAAAATGAGAAGATGTGAAAATGTGAAAATATTTGACAGACCCCCACTGTTAGAAGAACCTTTCGCTCAGACGTTCTCGGGAAAAAAATCAAGAGTTGTTTGATCACGTCCTTGATGAACACCCGTATAATTTAGAGGACTCCAAGATTTCACATGCGTACCAGGTACTAATCTACAAACGCAGCAGCGGCTTGCTTGGAACTCAGCCGATTCTGCAGAGCGTTTCCCGAGAAAAACCATGGCGCAACTCGAACCAATGCTCATCAAATTCAGATGAAACGGCTAAAAGTGGGATCAGATGGGATCAGACTGAGACAAGTTCTGAGCACTCAGGTCACACAACATAATAGGACCATTTCAACCAGTCTGAGTTCGGATCATCTCCAGGCACAGTCATCATGAGTGGATGGGAGTGGATAGGTGGTTGGCATCTATACCACCAGATTGGTGGGATGAACATCTATTTACCAACTACAGGCAGTTTGGTGTGAAAACGACAGTACCAGGGTTTTACCCCAGACCCGTATGTTTTTTCGTTCTTGTGCTATTTTGGTTGAAGATTCCAGGACAAGTTCAGACGCTCCATACAGGATTCCTGAGCATGCGGTCTCAGTACATCTAGGGCCGTCACTGGCGTGCACTCTTTCCTACTTGGACTTCTTGGATTTCCATCAGAGTAGTGGCAGAAAAACATGGAATGACTCGGAATGACCTTGAAGATCAGAAACCATACGTCCTGAATAGTCCTGAGATGTCCTGAGCCTTTTTTTATCAGGCGTGGTGGCGAGCCAAATCTTGGCTTGCCGCGCCGTGAGCGATGAATCTGTGGATATAGTGATGATGCGTGCCACAAAATAGCAATCGGATCGCAATGCAACCACAAGGACAGCTCATGACAGCTCCAGATAAGATGAAGAATCAGTCCATTTCACCCAGTAAAACAGCATGGAACAGCCAGGTAGCTGAGACAAGTAGAAAGTAGCTGAGACATGCTGAGACGTGAGACCTAAAGAGCTAGTTCAGTCTTCCATTCCAGTTTTGTCTGGCATGGCAGCGGCAGGTGCCATCATTGTGCATTGAAGCACCGTCATTTTGATCAGCTCCTTGAAAGAAGAAACCTTGAAGCAGACATCGAGGAGATGATTGTGCGTTGGTTGTAGCGCTGCTGGTACTGTAGCCCTGCAAATTCAAGGTGGCGCATGCATCGCTGCAAAGCCAAGCAATGACCGCTGTATACCCCAAATATCATCATTTATCATCATGAATCACCAGTAATCATCCATTTGTTGGTATAAATGAATCACCATTTATCATCATGAATCCCCCCTTAATTCCTCCATTTTTGTTGGGTTTTCCCCAGGACTTGGACCACGAGTTGGGCTGCGAGTCCTTGGGTTTGTTGCCCCAGCTCCGAGCCAAAGAGGAGGCTTCGTTGCAGAAACGCGGCGACGGTGAGGATGGGGAACTCCCCAATGGATAGACCAGTGAAATCCTACTCAAATAGTGAAGAATGGAACATTTCTATCTTTTTTTGGGGGTTATTATAGTTTGTAATCAAGAACTATTGATTATTCATCATTTTTTAGACCAATACTTGGATACTATGGATTAACATGTTGATAGATGGCAGCAATTCTTACCTTTTTCTCCCTAGAATACCATCACATATTATTGGATATCAACGTGCTTTAACTGCTGATAGATTTGGATACTGTCAATTACCCAATAGCAATTGCTATGGATAGCTGTGGATCAACACCGATATCAGATTTTTTGGGGTGAACATCCAGTGATGGTCGTAGGATATTTTTTGGTGATTTACCGAGACCAGATGAGGTCACACTGAAAAAACTCAGAGTTTTGCCTGGTGCGGTGTGGGGAGACACCACATGTTCTTGCAAGCAGCGCCAAGCCAAACGTAGATCTTTACAGTGCCTGAGGTGTGTACACTGGAAGCCAAAATTGGGTCAGTCTTATATGGACGATGCTGCCAAATCCAGCTGACACTGCTTTTTTTTGGCAGGTGTTGAAAGACCTTGAATGCTTGGACGACGAAGGGCTCATCTCTCTAAAAGGACCCATGCTGAGATCTGCCGGCTCTTTCCCAGAATAGTCTTAGTAGGAAGTGTTGAGACTTGGGTAACGGCTCTCCGAGTACCTCTTGGTTTGGAATCTGCACAGTTCAGTTGATTTATCATGATTTATCCAGTTGGACCATTCCTGAGATACAAGAGCTCTCCGTGAAAGGACAACCGGCGACAGAGGTGCTTTCAGGGGATGAAGTGACCATCATTGATGATTTACAGTTGATTGACATTGATATATATATATATATACACATTATACTGCATACACTGTGTGTATATATATATATAGTATTGTACTGTATATATAATATATTTGTTGAAATATCAATTGATATTGATTGGAACAAAATGAATAAGGCAGTCGAGAAGAATCTGCAGAAGGCTGCAGATGCCAGCCAATCCTGGGAGCCAGTCCAAACGGTGTGAAAACGCTTCCAGTTTGCTCGTTTACCTCGGAGTAGTTCAGTCTCCAGCATATCCGGGAATATCCAAACTGATTTGAATCTATTCGTGCGATGACAAGGAGTTGGCAACAATGATCACTGCACAAACTGCACAATCCTTGTGGATCTGATTCTGTCTGATGATGTGAATGGTTGTGACGACATAGTCAGTCTTCACAAGTCAAGAACTTCGCAGTTTCCAAGCCGAGCAAAGAGAGGAAGTTTGATGTTTCTTCCTGACAACTCCACAAAACACAAAAGGGGCTCGTAGCTTGCAGGTGATTTTCCACAACATCTTGGATGGCTGCACAGCAGCTGAAGCAGCAGCTGCAGTCTCTGCTTTTGTCTTTCCAGACAAAGTGGACACTGAGGACACTGGATCACTGCGCACTGACACGGGCATACACTGTACTACTATATAGTAATAGAATGTAATGAATATATAGAATGCGATAGGTATCATAGAGGTTGGACGTATATATATATATATATTATATTGTGCGAACAATGAATCACACATGTTAACACCGTTCTTTCTCTGCCTCTTGAAACACACCGTCCGATGCCATCATGCTCAAAGCTTCATACCTTCATGTCGTGGGTTGAAAGCAAAGACCAATCTTGTTCCAAAACTACGGAAAATGCTGCGGTCCAAGGACAAACACATACACACACACACCCATCCACACACACAGACACATACACAAACACCCCAGCACAATCCAATCCTTCAGCTTCAGTTAGTGGACATGGGCCCAACCATTCAAATGCAACGGAAGATTCCACTGAAGCAAGTGCATCTTTGGGCCTTTTGTTCTCGGTCTGAGCAACCATGCGTGCTTGTCCTTGTCATGTCGCTTGAGACCAACGAAACTGCCGAGTTACTTGAGCGACCATTATCCACCAGACATAGCAACTTCTTTTGCAAGACAGGCCCGTGAGGATCAGATGAGCAGCTAAACCGATCTTCATTTGAGATGGCGAAACTCGATTTTTGTTTCGACGTTTCCTTCGGCCTTCGGTATCTTGAGAAAACCTGCCCCTGTCAGGTCTTCTTCTCTTGGCGTTAGCTTCAGCCTCAGCAGCCTATGTCTTGCAGACCCCGCAGTTTGATTCCCTCGATCCAGCTTTCACTGCTGGCATCTTGCGGTTTGAGCAATTGGTTGGGCGCCAGATGCCAAAGCATCTTAGAGATCTAGCAGGAAAACAAGCAGACTTGGGACAACTAAGAGAAGCTCGAAGCAGCAGTTGAACTTTATAAGTGTTCTTTTTGGCAAATCAATATAAATCTCTCTCTCTCTCTCTATAATTATAGATAAATCTATAGTACTATTGGGGTAGTTGGATTGTCATGTTGGATTGAGCTGCATCACAGGATTGGGGCCCCGCTGGCCCTGCTGAGGGTTCATTTCTGAAGAACAGCCATTTAGAGTTTCATATGCATATGATTATAAATAAGTTGGATTCCAAATGAATAGCATTTTGGTGACTTGAATTGAAGGGGTAATGTAGGAAACCACATTCGAAAAGCAAAACACGATTTGACATATCTGACAGAGTTTGCAACATGCGAGTTTCAGAACACATGAAAGGCAACATTCAGATTGAACGCAACAGGCTGATTTCTTGCACGTTTCTCCCGAAACAGCATGATCAAGGAATCCAGGCTAAGGTTTGAGATGTTGTTGGGGCATGTTTTTTTTTTTTAAAATAATTACACACATGTCTGGCAAACCTGAGAGCCCACACTTCTCCATCTCAGGTAGCGCGTGCTGTAAATGATCATCGAACAAAGATGGGTCCATAAGAATCCTACAAGATCGCACAGTGTCTCGGAGCAGTGTATGACGTGGCAAATTCCATTGGCTGGGCAGGCTTGTATATCGATGCAATGAGCATCAACGGCACTTGCCCTGACACTGAAGATGACACCGCCTGTGCTGTCAACGTAGTTGGATTTGTATTTAGCCTCATTTTGGTTCTCAACAATGCGGCACAGATTCCGGTCTGGTGCGTGGCCGATTTCGAGAAGAACAACACGGCTTCCAAGTCAATCAACTGCCTGGTAAGTATGTCAGGGTTCTTGGCAGCCGCTCTGCAAATCACTTTCGATGGACTTCTCGTGAAAACCGACTGTGAATACCTGCGTCTTGACAGCACTCAGTCTTGACAGCACTCATGCTTTTGCCGAAAGGTGCTTCTTCTCAGGTCTGGTAATAGCCATGAAGATTCTCTGGTGTTGTAAGACACGCTGTATCTGGCGTTTTGTCATTTTATCAGAATCCAACGGTCAGGAGAAGCAAAGATTTCCTGGAATTCGATTCCTTCCAGGAGTATTTGGAGGATCGCATCGAGCAGTTGAAGCCGCGAAAACTGGACTCAGGTGACTCAGGCCCAGGAAAAAACCCAGGTGAACCAGAAAAAAATGAACCCAGAGACGCCAACATCTCAACTCTTCCAAGTCTTCCAGCTCTCGGCACTCGTCGCCTGAACGCTGACCTCGATGTCTTCGTGGGAGATGGAAATCGAGCTTTGGCCCGGGGAGTTTGTTCCTTGATCATCATGCAGCTGGCGAATGACCTGCCATACACTGGGGTCGACATTTGGGGAGCAGTTCTGAATTGTGGTTCGAGGTTTGGTCGGAACATTGCAGATTATAATGAGGATTGTGCTGCAGATGCCTTCGGTATCATCAGCGACGTCGTAAACCTTGCCACCGATTTCTTGGTTATCCTAGCGGCTTGTAAGGATAAGTTTCCAGCGACTTGGACTAGAGACAGCTTAATTAGGGCTTTGCTTTATCGTGAGAGTGTTGGAAAGGAAACAGTCTTGATTAGTGAGCTTAATCCATTTAAACCATGGTTGGTTAAACAATCCCCAACAATCCCCAACAGTTTTCTGGTGAAATTGCAGGTGTCAACATTTTTTTATATGGTGTTTTGATGTTTTTTTGATGCACATGTTTTGGCAAGCGAGGAGGAGATTCCATGCACTGCGGACTCCACGGACATCACATCGAACCTCTTTGCCGTGGGGGCCTGGGGCTTTACGGTGGACCATACATGCAACCCCTTCCACAAGGAGCATGTTACAGTCAACTATGATATCCCCGGTATCCCTTTCAGGTCCCTTTAAGAAGGACTGCCACTCCAGTGTTGGAGATTTTTTGATGTAGTTTTTAAAGATGTTTGAAGACGAGCCCATGCTGAAGAACTTCCGGCGAGAAGAGGGCAGTCCTTCTTTTGAGCAAGACTAATCATACTAATCCAAATACTTCGCAACCCTGCCAGTGCGACATCCAAAGACTGTAGCACAGCCACAGACAAGAGAGAGAAGCAGCGCTGTGGAGCGCTTGTGAAACAAGGTGGTATGTCGTTTTGTGATCTTTTGTCGTTGTCATTGCTTCTGAGTGAAGTTCAGCAGATGGCTGCTGCAGTTGTGCCTGAGATGTGTGGAACAGTCATGAATTTCAAAATGTCTTTGTTGAGCGAGTGTTGTACCATTGCGAAATATCATGAAGTAACCCAGGTGTCTGAAATCGAAATCGACTTCTTGTCTTGCCACATTCTCAGGGTGTTTTTCCATGCAAATTAAGTTTTGAAGCCCCTCCAGATGCCAAAGACTGGGTCAATCAGGCATTGCCTGATGCACAGACTGACAAGCACTGCGGTGATATCAACCAGACAACATAAGATGATTCTGATGATTACAGATGCCCTGCTACCCATGCAGAATCACATGGTGACAGCGAATGCTCCCCCTCAACCACCGCCACCTTGACTTTGGCGGTCAGTGCGGAAGCGCAGTTCAGTATACACACGTCAACCTGGCCAAAGAGTGGGCAACTTTGTAGTTTGGCTTGCATGACTCTTCATGAGTTCATGGCTGGTGATTCTTCAGTGGTTGAGCCCCATCCTTTGGTAACAAGTGCCATAGAATTCTGTCAAGCAAGATCATGCATGCCTTAGTAATGTTCTTTGTCGCTTTGCCCAAGGCAATGGGACGTTGATCAGATTGAATTTGAGACTTATTAACTTGCAGCGGTGAAAGCGTCTGGCTGGCACCTGCAGTTTTTGGCAGTTTCGGCTGACAGCACATCATACTTCTTCAGTAATTCAGTGCAGTACAGTAGCTTATTTGAAGCAGAGCCGGCTGGTAATCAGCCATTTTTGGTGAAGCATGAAATGGATTGACAATGATTGAAATGGTTTAAACAACCCAAAAACGATGACTTGAAAGTATCCTATGTCACATATGTCAGCCACAAGACTGGCGTTTTCAGCACCGTCCAGGAAGATCATTTGGAAGAGTTGCCTCCCAACCTCTGTCGCATCAGATCCGTGCCTCAGCAGACAACTTTTTGTGGCCGTTTAGCTAGCCGAAGGAAGTTTAGAAGTCAAACTTCCGACAATATGGACAGATGAAAAGCAGAGATGGGAAGAGTTAGAGAAGAGAAGAGAAGAAGAAAGAAGATCAAAAAGAGAAAGTCTCCGAAGAAAGAAGAGCCAGGTGCGCAAAAAGGTAGGAAAGTCGCGGAACACTGTGTCTTTCCAATGATTTGTAATTTGTGGCTCCGGAGGGTCGAAAAGTAGGCTCGCTAAAGCGGCGGGTGCGGAGCCATCTGGCCAGATGAGAGATGAAAAGTTGCACGCCGTTGTGGCGCGAAGCACATTTCAAAGTCAAAATGTACAAAGCACACCATGTACGGACCACTTTTGGACGTTCAGATCTCGTTTCGCGTGGCAGGCGCAAGGGATTGCGCACCTTGTCAAAAGTCAGCAAAACGTGAGGGTTTTGTAGCATTTCTAAAAACGATGGCAGGCGTAGGGCATTTGAAGAGGATCTGCAAAGATGCATTTTCCGTTGCAGGCGCAGTAGAAGAGACATGTTCATCAGAGATGTTAGGAGGTGAGGGCGAACCACACTACATTACACAACACTACATTACACTGCCTGCATTGCATTACGCTATAACTGCAACTGCAGCTGCAGCTGCAACTGCAAGTACAACTACACTACCACTACCACTACCACTACCACTACATCACACTACACTACACTACACGACACGACACGACACGGCACGGCACGGCACGGCACGGCACTACACTTACTACACTACACTACACGACACTACACGACACTACACTGCACAACACTACACTACACTACACTACGCCACACCACTACGCTACACTACATTACACTACACTACACTACACTACACTACACTACACTACACATACTGCACTACATTACCCTACGCTACACTACACTACGCATACTACACTACACTACACTACATTACACTACACTACACTACTCTACACTAATTACACTGCACTACACTACAGCTACAACTTCACTACACTACACTAATTACACAGCGCTACACTACAACTACAACTACACTACCTTACACTAGGCCCCACTACACTATACCACACTACACTACACAACACTACACGACATTACGCTGCACTACACTACACTAATTGCACCACACCACGAATACAACTGCAACTGCGCTTGCACATGCGCTAATTGCACTACATTACAGCTACAGCTCCACTACATTACACTACACTACAACTACAGCTACAGCTGCAGCTACAACTACAACTGCACTACACCACACTACATCCAGCAGTTGTGGCAAGGTGACCACTGCAACCATTGCAACTATTTCAAAAAACACAACTCCAACCACCTGTCGGTCCATCAGTGGATTCGCTCTGCCATCCGTGACTCACAACAACCAATCTCTCCTATAGGTTTCCTATTTTTGAAACTTCCGCCACCGCCTTGTGCGGTACTACTGGTATATTGTATAAGTTTCTCTGAAGGGAATCAGATGGCATATTGACTATATATACAATGTGAACGCGTATATATATATATATATAATATTATATAGAGTGCGCACACACACATACACACCCCACACACACACATATACATAGTATAATATGTGTATATATATATATTTACATAAATATATTTACATATATATATATATAGTATACAATATCTACATGTATATCTACAAGATATATGTATATGTATATGTATATGTATATGTATATGTATATGTATATGTCCTCTTGGTTAACCATAGGTATACACGTGCACGTACCTTGCCGTGGCAGCTTTGGGTTCACAGCTGGGAAGGCAGACCGCTGGTTGCCTCCCCTGTCGTGAGCCACACGGCACGTGAGGGACTGGACCGAATTCCCTCAGGATTCAGGATTGGGGAAGGCAGGCCTCCGGTGGCCTTCTTCCTTAGTTCGGCGAGAGATGTTAGGGAACTCCCGGCTGGCACCAGACGGCAGACTTGGGAGCCCTGAGGGGGGGGGGGCTTGCCATGGATCAGGTGAGGCGCCTTCGCCAGGACTTCCTCGAACCATGGGATGCTCCAGAGGAGTTCGAAGCCTTAACGTGGCCTGCAGCACCCGGAACCCGGCTTCGCCACAGCAAAACAGCACTTACCTGAAGGTTTCAGCCAGCACCGCCAGCCACAGACCTGCAAAACAGCACCTACCCGAAGGTTTCAGCCACCCTTGCCAGCCACAGACCTGGCTAAGAAGAAAAGCTATCGAGCGAAGGAAGCAGCACCCGGAACCCGGCCTCACCACAGCAAAACAGGACCTACCTGAAGGTTCCAGCCACCCTTGCCAGCCACCAACCTGCAAAACAGCACCTACCTGAAGGTTTCAGCCACCCTTGCCAGTTACAGACTTGGATCTCTAACCCTTGCCAGCCACAGACTTGGATCTCTAACGTGGCCTTCTGAATCCTATAGAAGAAAAACTATCGAGGGAAGGAAGCAGCACCCGGAACCCGGCCTCGCCACAGCAAAACAACGCCTACCTGAAGGTTTCAGCCAGCACTGCCAGCCACAGACCTGGATCTCTAACGTGGCCTTCTGAATCCTATAGAAGAAAAGCTATCGAACGAGGAAACAGTACCTGGAACCCGGCTTCGCCATTGCCAGCCACAGACCTGGATCTCTAACGTGGCCTTCTGAATCCTATAGAAGAAAACTTATCGAGCGAAGGAAGTTTCGAAGAAGAGCTATCGAGGGAAGGAAGCATGCAGCACCCAGAATCCGGCCTCGCTACAGCAAAACAGCACCTGCCGGAAGGTTTCAGCCAGCCCGGCCAGCCACAGAACTGGATTCTGACGTGGTCTTCTGAATCGTTTCGAAGAAGAGCTGTGGAGCGACGTTGCACAGAAAAGGTGTCGCGCGAAGGCTCTTCTGAATCGTTTCGAAGAAGAGTTGTGGAGCGACGTCGCACAGAAAAAGATGGCGCGCGAAGGCCCTAGCCTCGACAGCAACAAGCCTTGCCACAGTTCCCACGGAAGTGGCTACACTACAACGAAACCCACCTAGCTGATGAACATATTCAATTGTCAAGTTTTCACCTGGCCAATGTCAAAAAGACAACACTTTTCCTCGAGCGCGCTCCCCCTTGCCAATGGCTGGGGTCGGCGGATTATGTTTACACACAACATATTATGTGTGTGTATATATATATATATGTATGCATCGTGTTTGGCAGGCACTGGGTGTGCATTATCATTAGGGTGAGTATGTAAGCTGATGAATCCATTTTGGCTCAAGTCTGAGCCAAACTGGCTTCATCGTTCTTTCTTTTCTGGGGTACCCACGCCACTTCTAGGGAGTTACCCTAGGGTTAGTGGTTTCTCGTACCTCTACTAGGGCGTTACCCTAGAGTACAGAGGTTGAGAAGGTGGGAGGTCACCCCCCTCGATGCCAAGGGCCTCCATCGTCGTTCGGCCCGGCTGGAATGAGGCTGCCCACACGGATGTGGAGCTGCTTCATGCAGCTGCCTACTACGAGTTCAAGACGCACGTGGAGGGCCTGCTCCAGCGGGGCTTTGTGGCCGAGGCCACCCGTTTGTGGGCGTCTGTGTGCCAAATTGATCATTTCCCCCCACATCCAATTGGGTTGGGGGTGCAGGGACTTCCCCCTTTCAGACGGTCACCTTGTATGGAAGAGGACTGTAGGAGGTGTACTGAGTATCAGGGAGGATTCAAGTTCCCGTGGATTGGCACATGGAACAGCTCAGCTGTCTTGGCTCTGCCCGGGAGTGACCCGCGGCGTGCGTGGC